ATATAGTTTCCCTTTCTTGTAATGTCTTTTTCTGGTTTTGTAATGTCTTTTTCTGGTTTTATTAATTTTTTAAATAAATAAAGAGCAAATGAAGTTTATCTTTTTTTCCTTCTGTAAGTTTTGGTAGTTTTCATGTTTCAAGGAACTGGTCTGTTTCATCCAGCTTATCAATGGTAGCTATAGAGTTGTTCGCAGTAACCCTTTATTCTGCTTGAATGTCCATGGGATGAATAGTAGCAGCCCTTCTTTAATTTCTGATAAATGGTAATTTGTGTCTTTATCCTTTTTTCTCAGTTAGCCTGGTTAGAGGTTTACTAACTTTAATGACCTGTTCAAAGAACCAGCTTTGGGTTTTTGTGATTTTCTCTGATGTTATCCTGTTGCCTAGTTCATTGATTTCTGCTGTAAGGTTTATTATTTCTTGTCTTCAGTTTGCTTTGGTTTAAAGTGTTTTTCTTTATCTAGTTTCTAATGTAGAATCTTAGGTTATTGATTTTATGTCTTTCTTCTTTTCTAATATATGCATTTAATGTTACCTATTTCCCTCTAAGCACTGCTTTTGCTGCATCTCACAAATTTGATAAATTGTATTTTCATTTTTCTTTCTTTTTTTTTTTGAGACGGAGTCTCGCTGTGTCGCCCAGGGTGGAGTGCAGTGGCCGGATCTCAGCTCACTGCAAGCTCCGCCTCCCGGGTTTTTACGCCGTTCTCCTGCCTCAGCCTCCGGAGTAGCCGGGAGTACAGGCGCCCGCCACCTCGCCCGGCTAGTTTTTTGTATTTTTCAGTAGAGACGGGGTTTCACCGTGTTAGCCAGGATGGTCTCGAACTCCTGACCTCGTGATCCGCCCGTCTCAGCCTCCCAAAGTGCTGGGATTACAGGCTTGAGCCACCGCGCCCAGCCATTTTCATTTTTCTTTAGTTAAAAATATTTTTCTAACTTATCTTAAGGCTGCTTCTTTGATTTATTTAGAAACATGTTTAATTTCCAAATATTTCAGGATCTTCCAGATATCTTTGTTACTCATTTCTAGTTTAATTCCACTTTGGTCTGAGAACATACTTTTTAAGATTATATTTTTTAAAATTTATTAAGGTAGGCTTTATGGCCCAGAATGTGATCTCTCTGGTGAACGGTCCACTCCATGTGAGGTTAAGAATACGTATTCTCTGGCTGTTGGATGGAGCACCACGAATGTTAAAACAAGCAAATGAGCACTAAATCTAAATACTATTAGAAGACTGTTCAATTTAAAAGCAGTATTTATAGTTATCTTAAATTTCCTAGGCACTGAGTCTATGTGTAAAGGCATAGAAACAGGGAGTATGGGTCCAGACCGAATACTTTATTCGATCTTCAAAGTACAAATAAATTGTTCTCTGTCATACTTTGAATGATTTACACACTGTAAAAATTCTCCTCTTGCAATTTGATGTTAACCAGAAACTGAGCAGATACAATATTACATACGTGAGCTCCTATGCAAGGAATAAACTTAATGTAATTTTTTCTATAATTATGATTACAGTTGGAAAGATTAAAGTTTCTATGCCAGTTTTTTAAAAAGAAGTAAGGAAAGGCGATGTTTGCCAAATGTAAAGAGGGAGACATTTTATTTTCAGTTTCCTAAGAGATTATTAGAAATAACATTTCATAAAAACTACTTCTAAGGTTATTTGAAATTCTTCATTTATATGACACCAGTTTCTAATTTAAACATAATTGGAGAGAATAAATTGGGAATAAATTACAAAGAAAAGGAGGTAAAAGCACATGTCACTGACTAGTAGTTTCTATAGCAGTCTCTTTGACTATTTTAGTCAGTAAGACTACAGTCAGAAAGTTTGCATTTTGCCAGCCACTCTCCTGATGACAAAATTATTCTTTCCATAATCTAGCAACATATAGCCTAGGCACTACACAACAGAATAAATAAAAACCGAAAAATAACTTGAAAAAGTCAACTATTACAACTTTAATTCAACAAAATTCAATCAACTAACCAACTGAGCTCTAGGTAGATTTCACTCAAACCATTTCACCAATTCTTGCATTTGGGTTCTAAAGCTCACTATGGTATGTGGTGTTGAAATTCCAATTATATTGATTCAAAATTAACAATGCTCAGCCAGGTGCATAGCTCACGCCTGTAATCCCAGCACTTTGGGAGGCCAAGGTGGGCAGATAACTTGAGCCCAAGAGTTTGAAACCAGCCTTGGCAACACAGCGACACCCTGACTCTACAAAAAATGGAAAAATTAGCCAGATATGGTGGTGCACTCCTGTAGTCCCAGGTACTCAGGGGGCTGAGGTAGGGGGATCACTTGAGCCTGGGAGACGGAAATTACAGAGATAATACCACTGCACTCTGGCCCAAGCAACAGAGTGAGACTTTGACTAAAAAACAACAACAACAAAAAAAATGCTCCATAAAATTTCTTACTCATGCTACAAGTTAACCCATCAATATGTCAACTTTGGATAGCCATGCTATTTCTATTGCGACAATATGATTGAATAAAACAGATTCCAAGCAATGAAGCAAAAGAAAGGCCTCACAGTAGAATTTTGCTTTCCAGTTCAATGAGTGGAGGTAAAATAATAAGATCTCTTAGCAACAGCCTAATTTTCCAATGTAGTAATTCTTTTGAAAATTACCTTTTGTTGAATCATCCTCTATTGGCTGTTTGAACAACGTAATATCCTTGAAAGTACACAGGAACAAGACCACCTTTTCATGTTCATTTCTTATTGGTGCAATTTGCATATAAAACCAAACAGGGGTTCCTGTAACAGAGAGAAGTTGGGGAAAGGACATTAGAGTGTGGCATGGCCACAGCAATGTTTTGGTCTCCTGGCTTCTTTCTTCCTTCAGCTGCCAACAGCTAGGCCAGGAATCAACACCAAAACAATAGCATATTAATCACTACAAATAGTCAATAAACCTTTAATTTTGTATCAACTACCAATTATTCAAATTTAATACACACAGTATTCAAGCCAAAATATCCAAATTCTAAAGTAAAGCACAGACTGTCATTTCACAGCGCAGGAACACAAAGGCCGTCTTGCTACTTAAGCAATCCCAGCATCACCTGTAGGTCTGGGTCCCTCTACCACTGCTACTCTCACCAACTTTCTTCTGAGAGTCTTACCAATTGTGATCACTCATACCTGCTTCTCTCGTCTTGTCACTTTGACAAGTGTTCCCAATTAACTGCAACAGCCATACCTGATCCTCTAATAAGCATTCCTCTTAGAGGAACATCTAAAATACTGTTTCTATCCCAAGGCTCTCTCATCAGTCAGATAGACTTATATGATAGCTCTATGGCTTTGACTGCATCCCCACATCAGAGAGAGAGGATGTCAGCAAAACTTGATGCCTGATGTACACAGAGCTCTACTTGAAACTGTTAAGGCAGCCTGAAGGAAAAAAAAGACATGTCCCCAACCTTTGAGATCCCCAGGCATCCTTTCAAGCCACTGCTTCCTACCTCGCTCACTCAAAGAGCATGAAGCTGGACTCTATCAACACATTCTTCAAAGGATGGCTACTGCAGACTCTGTCCTCTAGGGCAGAGGGTATCAAAGTATTCAAGGCTTACAATTTGGACAAATCAGGAACTGGCATATAACAAATATAAATATGTGAAGGCACAATAAATGCCTTCAAAGTGTGATTATCTGTTAGGTGATAAAACACTGAAGGAAGGTTCCATTACAATCAAAGAGACACATTTACATTACAATCAAAGAGACATTTTTCTCATCATATTTTCTTCAAGCCACAGTGTAGTAAAGCCCCTCCAAATATTCTATTTTAAGACATAAAGGTTTTTATAAGGTTTAGGATTTAGGGAGTGAAACATGCAGCTATTAATTGTCTGTAGGTAAGACCCTAGCCTTTTATTAGCTTCCATTGAGAACTGAGTAAGAAGCACTTCTATTCCCATAGCCTAAAAAAATAAAAAATTAAAAAGTCACCTAACGTCACCACAAAGGGGAATTTTTCATTTAGACAAGATGAGATAACTACCAAGCTCAAGAAGTCAGAGAATTAGAGAAAGGAGATTTCTATGGGACTATTCAGCTGTGACAATCAGGTTTTTTGCAACCCCAGGGGGCCTATGGAAGGACGTGGCCCTTTCCAAAATGATGGTAGAATAAGACACAGACCTCAAAAATAATCACATCATCTCCCCTAGAGGCTTGTTCATTTTTTTCTGTTTTCGTATTTTACACAGCATGTCCAGGAACTGTGAGTGATGTGCACAGTTTTACAAATCACCAGGCCCAGACGTTAGTGGATACATGGCCTATGGCTATTCCAACACAGTGAGCTTGAGGCAGAAGGGTCATAAACAAAGAGAAAAGGGCACTAAAAAAAGAAGTCATTTTCCAAGGTCTGTTAGAAATCCGAACAGAAAGAGATGATGTTAGATTTCATACCCTCCTGTGAAAACTGCAACTTTTCAAATTCTGGCAGAGTCTGGGCTCTCTTTAAAACTGCTTTAGATATGAAGGTAATTGTTTTTCAACTTTCCAAGCCACAGGGTCATACTACCCCAAGTAGGCTCAGTATCTGCCAAGTATCTGGTGATAGATCCTTCATATTCTGGATTTGGGGTTCAGAGGGCTGGGGAGTCTGGGAGGGTTAAGCAGAGGAACCTGCTGCCGCTGAATCTCAGTGCAGAGTTCCAGCATTGATGACTTGGAGGAGCCTCAGCTGTCAATTCTGCCTTTGAGTACACAGAAAGAGCTATTTTAAGCTCAGAGCTATCTTCTTTCCCCACAGTAGAAACAGCCCCCTGCTAATCAGAGCACCGGACCTACAGAACAGAGGCTGCAAACTAAAATTTCAATGGTGATGCATATTCAATCAGATGCCTCAATTCCCCCATTTGCAAAATGATGTTTAACCTAATTACTTAAAGGAAGTATTGGGAGAACTTGGCATGTAGCCATTCCCAAAACAGTTTTCTACAGATGTGAATTTTTCTACGTAACATTTTTTTAAAAATCACAAAAACATATTTTTCTCAGTTGATATTCAAAACCTTTCAGCTTTTTTAAAAGCTGCAATTATATAGCAAAACTCCATTATAATACATGGATAACACCTATCCTTCACTAAAGAGGAAAACAAAAACACAACCCAATGTAGATAGCACACAGAAAGCAGGCATGAGTTTTAATTTACAATGCTATGGGGTATATATCCTATTGGCTATAAGCAGGAACTTATCTGCATAGAGAGTTATCTGGAAAGAACCAGATAGGCCTGAACAATGGTTAGATAATAATTTCAATCCATTAACATAAGGCAAAATATCTAAACTACCTTGAAAGGACTTCTGGAAATGTAAAATTCAAGTAATTACTAACATGATTTAAAGTAAACAAACACAAATTCCACAAAGATATTTTGTTGTGGTGGTTGTTACTACAGGGTCTTGCTCTGTCACCCAGGCTGGAACACAGTACCACGATCATAGCTCACTGCAACCTCGAACTCCTGAGCCCAAGCGATCTACCTGCCTCAGCCTCCCGTGAGTAGCTGGGACTACAGGCATGTGCCTTCATGCCCAGCTTTTCTTTTTTCGAAGAGGCAGGGTCTTGCTATGTCACCTAGGCTTCACTAAGATATTTTTTGAGAAACTCAGAAACTATGGACTTGTCTTTGGGGCTTTAAAGTCAGGCAAATGTTTGTTTATTTTTCTTTAAATGTCAGAGAGTGAATGACCTTAGTTATAGGGAATATTCTTACATTATTTGCTAAATTTGGAGTACATATCTAAATTATTGAAGAGTTAACAAACCATATGAAAATGAAGGGTTTTTTGGTATACAGGTCTCCTACAAATTATCAATATGTATTTAGACCTGGCAAAAAAGACCCAGAAAGCACCTACAGCCTGCCTTTTCTCTTGCAGAGGACAGAGCTGACCATTCAGAAGGGCTTGTTTTCTAGGTGACAAGCCAGCTGACATTTAGCTATGACTTCAAACTGAAATATCTCTTTGGCCTTGATGTAAAATGAAAGATAAGATAAGCCATTCCTTAAGTAAAATTACTAAACACAAATGTTTCCATTATCAAGTGCACTACTTTGAGGCAATGCCTAACACTGTTATTCCTTTATTAGTCTACTAATAAAAAGAGAAATCGAATTTTAATTCCAAATATTCCACAGATAAAAAATGTTTCAAGTAAATGGACAGCACAAATTATGCTCCACAAGATCCAACAGGCACTGAACATGGAACAGACATTGCCTGTTGAAGCGAGAATGTTTTCCAAACTTGGGAAGAATTTAGTAACCATCAATTTCCATCAAAGATAATAATGGACTTTGCTATCATTTGCTATTAACAATAAATAAATTGACTCATCTTATGAAGTGACTGTTCATTTCAAAAAAGAAAGAAAGAAAAATTTGTGGAAACAGCAAAAAGATAAAAGTAAGTAACCATGCAAATAAAGTGAATTTAGAAAGGGGACTGAGTTGTTGAGTACACTTGGTTTTTGTTGGGTTGGTTTTTTCCCTCCAAACTCTGATGGAAAGTCTACATCATGAGATATTATGTCATTATATAATACCGTACCACATACAAATCTCATGCCAGAGAAAGTTCCCAACAATCAATACACATTTACCAAATGTGAATGATCTGTTCTGAGAACAATGACTACGTTCTACTAGACTTTCTCACAAAAGAGTCTCAGACTGGCAAAAGGCTGTATTGGTAGAGATTCCCCTCAAGTAGCTACCGCATATTCACATTGCCTGTGTTTGTGTTGAAAGGTAAGTCCACATATCCAGTGTTAGCAATTACCATTTTCTTTAACCATAAGAAGAAATTAATACATGTATCTGTCAATTTTAGTTGTTGCCACATAATTATAGGATCTTTATTATAAGTATTAATTACAAAATATTGTGCTCCTGATACAAATGTCATATTTAGGATGTATCTCATTTTTCTTCCATTCCTCAAAAGGTTGCTTTCCATAGGTAGAATTATTTATTAATTTTATTATCTAATTTCACCAGCAACTTCTGCCCCTGCCAAGAAAAGAAGCAATAGAAGTTTTACATGCTTTCTACATTTTAGCTCCACTATGACTTACCAAACGTAATATTAATAAAGAGTTGGCACATCTTATTAATAATTGAGATACCTACTGTTTTTCTTGTACAGAAGAACTTCAAAGCAGTTTGACTCGTAGTTGTCAAAAGTTTGCCTTACTTTCTCAATGGTCTTCTTGTCAGTCAATTCCCCATACATAAAACTGGGGGGAGAAAAAAAGAAACAATCGATTTCACTTTTGTGTTGCCTTTCAAACGCTACAAAAATCATATAGTTGTCTTTGATTAAATAGTCAAATGTGGTTACAAAACATAATGTTGCTCCTCCACAATGAACTAAAATATTTAAATCATGAGAGACAGTTCTTGCTTCACACAGTTCCTGTATGCACAGATTTCAGTCACTATGGTTTAGTTCTAAATTATTGAAGAGTTAACAAACCATATGAAAATGAAGGGTTTTTTGGTATACAGGTCTCCTACAAATTATCAATATGTATTTAGACCTGGCAAAAAAGACCCAGAAAGCACCTACAGCCTGCCTTTTCTCTTGCAGAGGACAGAGCTGACCATTCAGAAGGGCTTGTTTTCTAGGTGACAAGCCAGCTGACATTTAGCTATGACTTCAAACTGAAATATCTCTTTGGCCTTGATGTAAAATGAAAGATAAGATAAGCCATTCCTTAAGTAAAATTACTAAACACAAATGTTTCCATTATCAAGTGCACTACTTTGAGGCAATGCCTAACACTGTTATTCCTTTATTAGTCTACTAATAAAAAGAGAAATCGAATTTTAATTCCAAATATTCCACAGATAAAAAATGTTTCAAGTAAATGGACAGCACAAATTATGCTCCACAAGATCCAACAGGCACTGAACATGGAACAGACATTGCCTGTTGAAGCGAGAATGTTTTCCAAACTTGGGAAGAATTTAGTAACCATCAATTTCCATCAAAGATAATAATGGACTTTGCTATCATTTGCTATTAACAATAAATAAATTGACTCATCTTATGAAGTGACTGTTCATTTCAAAAAAGAAAGAAAGAAAAATTTGTGGAAACAGCAAAAAGATAAAAGTAAGTAACCATGCAAATAAAGTGAATTTAGAAAGGGGACTGAGTTGTTGAGTACACTTGGTTTTTGTTGGGTTGGTTTTTTCCCTCCAAACTCTGATGGAAAGTCTACATCATGAGATATTATGTCATTATATAATACCGTACCACATACAAATCTCATGCCAGAGAAAGTTCCCAACAATCAATACACATTTACCAAATGTGAATGATCTGTTCTGAGAACAATGACTACGTTCTACTAGACTTTCTCACAAAAGAGTCTCAGACTGGCAAAAGGCTGTATTGGTAGAGATTCCCCTCAAGTAGCTACCGCATATTCACATTGCCTGTGTTTGTGTTGAAAGGTAAGTCCACATATCCAGTGTTAGCAATTACCATTTTCTTTAACCATAAGAAGAAATTAATACATGTATCTGTCAATTTTAGTTGTTGCCACATAATTATAGGATCTTTATTATAAGTATTAATTACAAAATATTGTGCTCCTGATACAAAAGTCATATTTAGGATGTATCTCATTTTTCTTCCATTCCTCAAAAGGTTGCTTTCCATAGGTAGAATTATTTATTAATTTTATTATCTAATTTCACCAGCAACTTCTGCCCCTGCCAAGAAAAGAAGCAATAGAAGTTTTACATGCTTTCTACATTTTAGCTCCACTATGACTTACCAAACGTAATATTAATAAAGAGTTGGCACATCTTATTAATAATTGAGATACCTACTGTTTTTCTTGTACAGAAGAACTTCAAAGCAGTTTGACTCGTAGTTGTCAAAAGTTTGCCTTACTTTCTCAATGGTCTTCTTGTCAGTCAATTCCCCATACATAAAACTGGGGGGAGAAAAAAAGAAACAATCGATTTCACTTTTGTGTTGCCTTTCAAACGCTACAAAAATCATATAGTTGTCTTTGATTAAATAGTCAAATGTGGTTACAAAACATAATGTTGCTCCTCCACAATGAACTAAAATATTTAAATCATGAGAGACAGTTCTTGCTTCACACAGTTCCTGTATGCACAGATTTCAGTCACTATGGTTTAGTTAAATTACACCAGTTCCACAACACAGTTCAAATTTCAGTTACCACAGTATGTTAACCGAGTAATTGCACAAAGTGCAAGCTTCGCTGCTTGATCTTCAGTCTACAAATCACTAGAAAATAACAGATGCACCTTCACAACCAGTCACTGATCACATCACTTCTTTCAAATTCTGTCAGTATTGGTAACAGCACAGCTGTTATTCAGTTCACACACAGACAGAAAAGCATGTAGTCATATTGCCTCCTTGTCTCTCAGTGATAAACCTACGTGACATTTTACAAAAATGGATAATCAAAAGCAGTAAGTAGCCAACAAAAATTAAAGTCCACCAAAGAAATGACAAATAATAATGTTGGAAGTGGAATTCAAACTGAACATAAATGAAGTTATAAGAAAAATAGGCGACCATGGAAATGTCGATACTGCTACCATTTGGGAGACTCTAGCTATGCAGCCAAAAGGACTTAGTGAAGGTGAACTCATCAATATAAATGAGGAAAGTGGTTGTAACAAAAAGGATGAAGGTCTCCCAGAGGAGGTGACACCAGTTCAAAAACAAAGAAACAAACAAAAGCTCCTCATTAAAGGAGCTCTAGTACGTTGCTCACAATAGTAAAAGTGGAAGAATAAAATATTTGAAATTAATTCTAACTTAGAAAGGAGGGTGACAATTTTCGAGGAGATAGAAAAGATGCTGCCTTTATACAGAAAGTTACATTTTGAAAAGGCAAGTATTGTTCAAATGACTTGTGATAAGTTTTTTAAGAATAAATAAAACACTTCCCCCATTCTCAATGTTTCTAATGTTCAAAATCACAGTATACTACGTAAATATGAGTTTTACTATTATATTCAGCTCCCTTCATTGATAACCAACAATAAGAGAATTTTTAATGTTTTGACAAACATTTTTAAAGATGCTAAAACAATCATAATTTTTATTGAGTATTAAGATCGTTATTATGTGGTTTCAGCTTGCATATACCTTGTTATGTTTCCATACTATCATAATAAAGTGAGGATTGCATATTATACATATAGTGCATTGACATTCTCATCATTTCAGGGGATTTCCTTAAGACAGGTACAAGTGTGGCTAGCGGGAGGGAAGTAAAGCTGGCATCTTGAAAAAATCATACATTATTACAGTTGTTAGAGGAACATACAAAATACGGATTAAGGAATGAATGTCTATATTCCACAAAAACTTTCTAATGTTTGACATTCTCTATTTTTCTAAGAGAACCTTGGCAAAAGTCTGATTATCTAAATAACAAAACTCACTCAATAACTACATGCCTCTAAAACTCCATTCTCAATGCTTTCAAAATCATCAGTTGTACATCTGGTTTTAGATCCACAGTTCTGCTGATCGGTATGACTGTCCAGGCCATTTCTTCCACCAGGAAAGAAAATGTGGCATTACTGAATACCTTAACTAAGATTTTGAAAGATCAAATGTTCATCTTTGTTATTGCTTTTCTTTCAGTTTTCAAAGAGTTCACATATTGACCAGAGGCAGATCCAAAGTGTGGTGGAGGCTGAAGCCTATACAATCTGTGGAGCCCTCCTTAAGAAAAAGAATACAAAATTATAAAACAAGATTAAGAACAGAGCCTCGAAAGACATGCATTCAAATGAGGGCCCCTGAAGGTTCAGATTCATTATCTTCACAGAAAATCTGCACCTGAAATTATCAATTAATAAAACTTACAACCTAAAAGGCATAGTTTATCAGCAAGATTCAGTAATGACACACAGGACCCAATAGTAGCACCACATTACAACTGGAAATTACCGGTAACTCAAGCCCGCCTTCTATAACACCAACCTAAGCAACTAGAATTCTAGAAACTAAGAAATGAAAGTAGATAAGGCAGATTGTCCAAGCACTGAGAAATCTGAATCCTTCATTTTTAATACATTTAATTTAAAAAGAAAAATTTTATTTGTCATTAAAATAACAAAATAAGTAAAAAAATCTCAGAATAAAATGACAGACTCTTAATTCCATATCTTTTATCTAGACTAACACAGGAAACCTCAAAGCATACCTGCAAGCTGGCATTGAAAAGCCACTGTTCCTGTCAGAGCTGAAATTTCAGCTCTTGTGAGTTTTATAAAAATCTCTTGAAGGCATTACAATTACATTAAAATTATTCAGCTAAAGAACATAAAGCAACTCCTCTCCCAAAAAAAATTAGATTAATACTGTACATAATATTTTTATAGACAAGTGAACTTTTTAAATCAGTTTTTTATAACTGTTATTTTCAATTAAAGAATCTTAATAAAGCAGAAACATTTTAAAATTCAAGATAAGGGCAATTAAACTAAGTAAATGTTTGTAGTCTTAAAGAAAAACCATTTCACACTGCTACTAAATGACAGGTGTCTATGGTTCAATAAACTGAAACATAATATTCACAATGGGCCAACAGAAACAATAAGAAAGAATTTATAATACAACAAGCAAGTAGGATAAAAATTATCAAAAATTAACTCTAATAAGATTTAAAACTAAGTTACAACTCAAATTTTAACAAAGAAGCTCTTTGAGGGATTGGTTTAATAACACCAACTAAGAAAAAATGCAGCACAGGTCTGATGCAACTAAAATTCTGAAGAGAAGGAAAAAACAAACAAGTAATTTTTAAATAAGCTATTAAAAATTCACAATACACCTCCATTAGTTAAGTCCTTCCAATGCTAACATCACTTATCCTAGGAAAATAAAGGCACTTAAGAAAAATAATCCTATATTATTAAAATCCGAATACTGTTCTTAAAAAATAATCTTTCATTTCTTACATTATTCCACTCGGATTTTTCATTTATTATACTGCATATTTCCAGTGACAGAACATGTATTTGAAGGGGTGAAATGTAGCAGTTAAATAATAAGAGGTATTTGAAAACAGAGGATAAAGAATGTCGGAAATGTACTAACTATCTATCCTCCCAAGGCAAGCGTTCTGGAGGTTAATTCAATCTCTGAAAGTATTTTCATCCAAAGTTGTCCAAGCCATACTGATAAATCCATGACTCCCCGTTCTCTATGGGTACGGCACATTTGTTGATTTGCTTGACTCTGTCACATGTGAATGCTGAAATATTTTATCACAGTTCCTGAAGCCTGACTCAGGAGGAGTGAAGCTCAATGCAGTCTTTGAATGGTTAATGGAATTTGAGGGGTCACAAATTATAGAAATAGTAATCAACAGGCTTTAGAAACCATAAATAATAATTTTACATAGTTTTCGTATCTTCTACTAAATATCCTCAAGGAATATGTAATGGAAATATTTTTAAAATTACAAAACTTCCACTTGCTCTCTTACATAGGATGCCAAGCTCCTCCTTGGTAATTATAAATGAACTACTGCACTGTTCCTTTATTGAAAGGCAAACAAAATTGGATTCACAGAAGCAATCTATATCTCTGTTATAATATTGGGCAGTCATGGTATAACAGAGGACTTTTGCATTTGGAGGACCACTTACAAACTGGATAATTCATGGGCAAGTCTTGTATCCTCTCTGACCCATAGTTTCTTCATCAGTAAAATGATGACAATAATAATATAACTCAAAGGGTGACAAAATTATAACGTGTTACACAATGGCTGAAATATGACTGGAATGTACGGATGGGATTAGAAGGCCCCTTCCCAATCCCAGCCTCACTCCCTAGCTTCTCCAGGATTCTCCAGGAACCATGCTTTCCAAAAGGCAGGGTCACTGTGTCTTAAAGGGAGATGTGCATGGTTCTGTGAATCTTCTTTCTTCACAAGCCCATGAGGTTGAAGCAAACACTCACTCAGAACCTGCTCCTGTATAATCTGGCCACTTTTCTTGTCACACAACTGACTGGTTTCATCTTGGGAATAAGGAAGTAAGTTTTCTTCAGGTCTGTTCTAGGCCATACCCGCTCGCCTAGGCATCTGGCAGTTATCTTTCATGTGTATCTCACCTAGAAAACTTTGAAGAACAGGTGGTTTGGGCTTGTAGCAGGATTTGTTTATTCTTGGATCCCTTGCTCTGCTATCAAAATCTCACAAACAAGCCTCATTATAGTACCTAGCAGTAACAATGGCTATAATGATTGAAAGACTTCCAAAGGAGAAAAGAACCTTACAACTCTGAAGAAAACATAACCTAATCATGAGTTCCACCAATTTCTCTTGCTCTGCTAAATGTACAACAGTGTGTCTAGACTAAAATGCAACAAACATTCAGTCACCATAGTACAGGGTAATATTATCTGCAGGCTGTAGTTCACAGATTAGCAAATGCTTCATCAAAAAAAAGCAACACAGATAGACAACGCAGTGGGTAAATGTGGTCTCCAGCTCAGAACTGGCCACAACCATAGAATCAGAAAAGTTAATGGGAGGTGGACTGAGATCTGCAGTCAAAGAGAAAGCCTGAGAGAAGGGAAGTTAAGCAGGAAAAATTAAAAACAAATAAGAATACAGTTTTCAGCCAGGCGCAGTGGCTCACACCTGTAATCCCAGCACTTTGGGAGGCCGAGGCAGGCGGATCACCTGAGGTCAGGAGTTCGAGACCAGCCTGGCCAGGTGAAACCCCATCTCCATTAAAATACAAAATTAGCCAGGCATGGTGGTGGGCACCTGTAACCCCATCGACTTGGGAGGCTGAGGCAAGAGAATCACTTGAACGCAGGAGGCGCAGGTTGCAGTGAGCCAAGATCGCACCATTGTAGTCTAGCCTGGGTAAAAAAAGAGAAACTCTGTCTCAAAAAAAAAAAAAAAAAATACGGTTT